CAAAGTAAGGCAGGAGTTGATGTCTGCAGTCTCTGAACTACTCACTTTTGTCTTAGAAATTTTGTTTTCCAGTTCATTGAGTCTCCTGGGAGACCCAAGTTCTGCAATATGCAAAACACAATTTTCTTAGATTGGATATAAATTAAGAAAGTATGCAAGTTTTTTTTCAAAAAAAAAAAAAAGAAAGTATGCAAGTTAGAAATTAAAGCACCTTCAAAGATATCAAAGCTGGATGCGCCTGCCACACTCAACTTGGTGAATGGCGGAAGGGTCTTCTTCATAAGAGGATTATCCCATTCGAGAGATTCCCACCACTCTTGGTCTGCTTTTATCTGTTGAAGAAAAGGCGGTACCAGTCCTTCCCCATTGTTGTGTAGGGGTACGGAGAGAGGTAGTCTCTTCACTATTGGACAATTTGTAACATTGATATGTTCAATGGAACTACAACTTGGTATGATTCCATGAAAGAAACTTGTAAGACATGGTAGATCATCCAGCTCTAACGTCCTTAAGTAGGGGAGTTCATAGGCACCACAACTCTCTTGACCCTGAGAGTTGGGTGATGCAATAATCTCCTCTAAAATGTTGCAAGCTGCTACTTTAACTTCTCTCAAGTTGCTCAAATGGTACTGTGTTAAACTGCTCTTGAATATCTGCTTGATTTTTGCACAATATTCAACAGTAATTTGCTCAACAGAACACTTTCCTAGCATCCCTCCATGACAGATGCCTGTCAACTTTGGCAGCTGCCTCAAGTGCAGAGCTCTCAAGTTGGGAAGCCAGATTAAATCACCATCTTTATCGACATATCCTTCAAAATCTATGATTTTTTCTCGACCACCATCATCATGGACTGCAATAATCATTTCTAATTCTTCGCATCCTGCAACCTCCAGCTCGTGGAGGTTATTAAGGCCACCATTCAACAGATTTGATGTGAATAGCTCCTTGATATTGGGACAATATTTTATCACCAATATCTTAAGATTGGAAAAGGCACCTCGTTGGATAGCAACTCCTTCTTTTACTAGACCCCTGAAATCATGTAGATCAGTGAGAATTAACTCCTGAAGGCATTGAAGCAATAATACAACAGCAGCATTGAAGTGGTTCCTTTCTTGTGTAGCTTCAACGCATGATACTGGTGACCATATCACTTCTATCACTCTGCAACGCCTAATGAGAATTCTTTTCAATGCTGTTACACGAATTAATGATGGAAGGGCACCAACCAAGCTTCTTGCATCAAATGCAGAGTTATGAATCTGTAGATCTTGGGTGTTCTCTGGAGGAACAAATAGATCCCCTCCGCTTCCTCCTTTAAGACTTCCGCTGCATAGGATCACCATTCTTTCTGCGTTTATGCTATGATCAACCCTTTTGTATTGCCCTGCTCCGACGACAAACTCGTAGTACTTCAGCTGCTGGAAATGCGGAGATTTAACATATTTGTTAAAACTGCTTACATCAGCTATCCTGCAGCCTTCCAATCTCTCCAAATATCGCAGTTTTAACACATCATCTCCTGAGATACTTTGCACATCTGGATCGAGCTTAAGGCATTGGATGTGAGAAAATGTGGATAATGAACCACTGAGTAACTGACACAGATCCTTGCATCCCTCTAAATCAAGGAATCTAAGTTCAGCTAGCTGATTCATCCCACATGGCACATCGTTCATTGACCAGCAAAAGCTAAAATCCAACTCCCTCAAGCTGGTAAGTTTCACTACTGACGGCACAAAATGCAAACGCTTGCAGAATTCAAGCAGAAGAGCTCTCAGGTTCTTCAATTCTGAAATCGAGTCTGGTAGCCTCTTGATGCTGGTTTTGGACAAGTTAAGCACTTTGAGGGCCTTCATGTGCACAAAGAAAGAATCTGGGAGTTTTGTAAATGGGTTTTGCTGGAGTAGTAAGGTAGTGAGGTCTGGGCACATGGGTATTGTTCCTGGTTGAATTTCTGACAAAGAATTGTACATTAAGGAAGCCTTGTCAAGATCTATTGTCCATCGTCGCCCACTAGGTATTCTTCTCAACTCTGCACCCGCTGCAATCATATATCGTGGCTTAGTATTGGTGATTCGAATAGCCATGTCTCTGATGAAATTGTGCATCTTCACACATCTGTTATCAGACCTCTCCAGTAAGCATGCATTTTCGAGTTTATTCAGCATGCTGTGCCCTTTATCAAATTGCTTTTGCCAACCATCTACCTTATCCAGAAGGCCTTCAGAACGGAAAAGCACAATCAGCTCATCTCGTACAATTTCACCATATTTAGGATACAATGCACATAATAGGAAACTTTCCTTCAGCCTTTGGTCTTTCAAACGATCATAACTATGCTTCAAAACTGGGAATATCTCTGTTTCTATGTCACGTTGTCCTTCACTTGAATTTTGCAACTCCTCTAAAGTATTACGCCACTCTTTAATGTCATCTACTTCTCGCATGCTTCCAGCCATGACAATCAAACCAAGAGGCAAACCAGCACATTCAGCAGCAACTAGCTCTGCAAGCTCATTTATTTCTGATGGCATATGATCTCTTCGTCCTAGTACCTTGCTAAATAGCTCCCAAGCTTTTTCCTTTGACAGCGGCTCCACCTTGACAGTTTTCCGACATTTCATCCTTCTGCACACATCCAAAGACCGCGTTGTCAGGATCAATTTGCAACTATTCTCATCTCCAATGGGAACCCCCACATCCTCTAGCGAAAAATGTTCCCACACATCATCCAGGAAAAGAAAAACATTATTTCTCTGCTTTAACTCATAAGATAAAGTAGCTGCCTTCCTGATTACATTTTTCTCTGTTAAAAGATAGCTCAAATTCATAGCTTCAGCAATTTTATCCTGCAACATAGGCAATGTGATTCCATGTGACACAGACACCCAATAAACGCGCCCAGATGATTTAAACCGTTCAAGTAGCTCATCGTGAATTTCCTTAAGCAGCATAGTTTTCCCTACACCACCAGGACCATAAACGCCTACTGTGGAGATGGTGCCATCATCTATCAGCCAAGATATCACTTTCCTCTTATTATCATGTAGCATTCTATCATTTATCTTCATGTTTGTTGTTACTAGTGATACACTAGAATTCCCATGATCATATAACGTAAACCCTCCAGGAAAACTCCCTTGCATAGTCAGGTCTCCAATTTGTTCTATCAATCCAGCATTTCTCCGTTCTGATGTAATCAAATCTTCGCCTCGTAGCTCAAGATTTTGTAGTTGAAGCTCCACCTCCTGAACGTTTTCAACCAGTTATCAACCTCCTTCTTTCGTCTCTTTCCTGGTTGAAGCTCCTCTTGTTTTATTTCACTGAGTACATCTTCTGCTTTCGCACGCAATGCTCTGGCTTTACGCTTTAAGGTCTGCAGCTTATCATCTTTGCCATCACTAATATTCAACAAATTCTTTAATGTTTCCATCGAAGAACCTGATAACCAAAAACAGGTACTAATAATAAGTATACAGGATCCAAAAAGAATATATACTTATAGTAAAGCATGTTTTTAATTTCCTCAAATGTGTGTTGTGGTAAACCTCATGGAATATATGGTAGAACTCAGTGTTCATAGAAGGGTGTAAGCATAAAGTGTGTACTGCAGCATCAGCAAGCTAACGCTTAGATTCTTAGATTATACATCCGAGAGCATGATGGGCTTTATGTTTTTGGTTACATGTTTTTCACTATACCCAAGTGTTATTTTTTTTAAAAATATCATGTTTCCATGATTAGCATACCTTATAATTACAGTTGCATGTAAAAAGACAAGGTAGTTTTATAATTAGCATACCTTATCTGTTAGCTGTTACACTCAAAACCATGTTGTATGAGATTCCAACCAACAAAAAAAGTGATAACTTGGCATTTCATTACTGATCTATACATTAAGATTCATTAATAAACATAATACTAAATGATATACAAACAACTTGAGTAACAAATTTTTCTTTGATACAAATGAGATTTGATCTTAAGTCAGACTATACAAATAAATTAATTTGTAGTACACAAGAAATCATATTCAATGTGATATGTACCATACAAACATAAATAAACAAAAACAACCAAATAGCAGAAATTATCCAACTGCATGAAAAGTTCAGGAAAAATAGGCATTACAGATTACAAGAAAGAATTTCAATGAAAAAATCATACCTTTTTGCAGCAAATAAAGATAAAAAACTACAATTCTAATAAAAATGAGCATATAGCACAAAGCATTACAGATTAAATGCAAGAAATTCAGTGAAAAAATCATACCTTTTTTGCAGAAATTCAAACAAACTACAATTCTAGTAAAAATGAGCATATATCACAATTTTGTTAGGGGCTTGATCATTAGCTTTAGTTAATCTTTCAAAGTATCAAAAGATTAAGGGAGTTGACTTGCTAAAGTAAACTATTAAAGTCCTCTATTTTTTGCCCCCAAATTTCCCTTCCATTTTTTTAAGTTTGAGAAAATTGGCTGGTTTCTTCCATCTTTGACATTTCTTCGGATAGGTAATGTGGAAATTTGCTATTTTTACAATTACTAGGTGATCAATAATAAATTAATGATTTTTTTTTTGGTGCACACGAGGGGTGAGCCCCGGGAAATAAAAACAAACTAGAAATTAATAATCATATGTAAAATGTATTGTAATTAATTTTACCTGTTTGAAATTATTTTGTCTAAACTTATTTTATGTGAACTCAGTTTTTTCTGAAACATACCCTTAATCTTATTAATATGTATACAGCATTTTCTATTACATTAGGATTGAAAAGTATTAAATTTTACAAGAAAAAAAATAAAAGAAAAAATAATACTAATAAAATTAATTATACTTTGGGAAAGTCAAAGCTTCTTTTTTTTTGGGAAAGTCAAAGTTTCTTTTTTTTTTTTTTAGGAAAGTCAAAGCTTTCTGGAATATAGCACAAAATATAAAATCAAGCAAAACAATGTATTCCTAACAAAAGGGAAAAAGATGACACCAAATGAATAAAAGAATCAATCATACTCCGTATAAACTTCAAGTGTTCCTTTACTGCCAATTCCTAAAACATACAACGGCCTACTTTCGAGATGTAGCCGATGCCTAGGGAAAAAATCGTCTATACACAATCGATTCAGGAAGATGGCTCATTGGCTACATAAGTAGTAACTAAAGAGGGGAAATGAAGCTCTGTTCCCTCGAGTTTGAAATGATCACAAAATTTGTGTAAGTGTAACTGTCTAAGTCTCTCACCTACGTTAGGCAGCTTTGGCCGACCCTAAAAATTGCAGGCCTCCAAAGAAGACGTTGACTCCTACCAAAAATTATGCGGCACCATGAAAGCAGGAGGTTCACTATCCACACTGACATTGGAGGTACGAACATGCCGCCTATTTCGGTTCAATTTCAACTTCACTGCAGGCACCTTGTGTGCTATGGACTTCCATATCATTTGGACAGCGTCATCATCCCTTGACGGATACCTAAACTCAAAGTATTTCTCAACTTCTTGCAGTTTCCTCCACATGCGAGTCCATTCTTCCTTGCTAATACCCCTAATAAGATTCATAAGAAACTTCTCTTTTGTGGCATCAGAAGTACGAACAAAAATGCAGAATTCCGAGTAATCAATTATGTCTTCGTAGGGAAGCTCAATTTCATCACTGATGATAACAGGGACACAGTGGCTGGCAATCGCATCAAACAGGCGGTTTGATGATGGTGTGTCACCAGCTATGTTAAGGCAGAATTTAGAGGAGTGCATTCCTTGGGTAGCATTATTGACACCCCCTCGTTGGATACTTCCAAATGTAAAATGCACATCCCTTTCATCTTTCAAGAGATAAAATAACTCTTGCCTTATCACTCCACCCTGCAAAAATTATTTAACCCATATTTGAAAATCACATTGAAGTTGATAAGATATTTAAAACTAATCAAGGAAAATGAAGCCATTTGGATAGTATAATTACGTTCTCAATGTTACAAAGCCAAATAAAAGTTATCAAGGAAAACAACTCTAACAAACTAATGGAAGTTGCAATAGAAGAGAAGTTAGAAAAATGCTTTTCCGCAATTAACAATGAAATACAGTATCATTCACATTATGGTTTCACAAAGTAAGCCATGTTATATATTATTATCTTAGGCAAGTGAAAAATCATAGGCCACTCAACAACAAAAAAGTCCATTGAGAATTAAGGCAATAGCTACACAAGGATGAGAGTGAGAAGGAACTAATCCGTAGTGCACAATAGCAATCAACAGAAAGAAACCATTGCAACATCAAACAGGAAATCAAACGATGAAGAGAACTTACATCTTTTCTGTAAATGGCACCTTGGAAGAACAGTAAGATTGGACGGCTATCATAAGTTGATGTATCATTGACATATGACTTGATAACATGCCGGTAAGGAGCTATGATATCTTTCTGAACATTTGCTATATTTGGAGGATACCTCCCAAGATCTGAGAGTATGTACATTGCAGGCCAAAGTTGGTTCCTTGCGTATAATAAACTATTTGGATGATGAGCCATAATAATGTGATCTACACCCCCTGACCTTTTCCATTCTTCTTGAGCTTCTAAATATTGTACCAACTTATCTTGTGTAAGCTTATCTAAACTGGTCCTTTCCTGCTTTCTCAGCCTTGAAAAGCGATTGTAGGATAAAGACGAGAAAAAGGGAACAAATATCACATCTGCTTCACTAGAATTTCGCACTCGCACAGCAACACGAGAATTTGAAGAGCCAGAATATTCCGAAAAGAGGAGATCAAGTGTAAGCCAATACTCTATACTGTGTTGTAGATTCAATCCACCAGGATAGTTTGGGACTGTAGTTCGAATATCTGGCCAAACATTAGATCCCTCAGGTTTCCAATCCAAAAGTCCAAAATGAAACTCAGGTGGCAAATCATACATGAAAACCTTCAGTACTTCTTTTCTCACACCACGTTCTGCTATAACCTTTTCACAGAATACTGCAGCTCCTCCACCAGAATTAATATTATCAGACACAATGTTAGCATCTGAACTAGGCCGAAAAACAAACTGTGGCCGGCCTGTTGACCGCAATACAAAGAAGGAAGATAGTAGGAAGAGGATGCTTGTTAGACAAAGCCAATAAAACAAGGAATTCCAACAGTAAAACCCCATTGAAGAGGAGCTCCTGTCTACCATGGGTTCAAAATTCTCAATAAGAATCACCAGTATATCTCACACAATCACCATTCCAAGTTCAAAGTATTAACCTACACACATAAATCAACTTGGTCAAAACTTGGATAAAAATCCCAACAATCAGAAAATTCTTCAAAATTTCAATTTTAATACATTCTAACATTTCCAAATTCTTCTAATGATTAATATCAATAATCTAACTGAGTTCGCACCATATATAATTTTTTTTTTGTCTCACTTAGATGAGAGCTCATTGGAAACCCATAGGTACTAGTGTACTACATTATTACACTTTGAGCTCAATTATCATCGTTCCGTTTAAAAACCAAATTTTTCATAAGCAGACGAAAATAATAGGACGACAGGACAAATGAGCAACTAACATCAACACAATGACAATCATATCATACAAGATACAACTGACCATCATCTAACAAAAACAAAGTATCAGCTGCATCAACACAATGACAATCATATCAACAACCATACAACTCGCAAACATCGTACTAACAAAGTTTTTGTCAATATACTATAGTAGCAATCATTCATCTTTGTTAAAAAAAATGCTACCATATCCTTGTATATAATTTTTTATAAGAAAAACAAAAAAACGATAATGAACAACCCCAATTTCCTAAATTGGACATTTCACCAACTAGTCTCGTAATTCTTATCCATCAAACAAAACAAAAAACACAAATTAGATAAATTTAATTCCACCATAATTGTCAAATTAAATGCAAATGTATAGCAAAACTGAGATCAATTCATAGGTCAACTGAATTCATTCAAATCAATTCTTTCAATTTTTTTCTAAGTAAAAAAGAAAATCTAAATTTCTTTTTTCTTCAATTATAATGAAAATTGACAAATTATTATATACCTGAATCCAGAAATTCAATGCGGCGAAAAGATGGAGTAAATATAACCGGTGAAGAATGCGAACAACCGAAAGTAGCCGGTAATCACATTGGCGGCAAAGAAGAGGTTGACCGGCAGGTGACTGGTTAAGTTAGCAATTCGGTAGAAAATCAGAGAATTGATGAAGAAAAATGGCAGAAACCCAAAATTACTAAAATACCCCTAACAAAAAGAATTGCAGTAACACAAAAATGCTGAATACCTGAACAAAAACTCCGGCGGTGGATGCGGCGGCGCTCAGTGAAGGTGGCGGTGGTAGGTAGAAAACGACAGCGTTTTGGAGAGCGGAATGAAGAGAGAAGATTGAAGGGTGCGAGAGGAAGAAGGCGGTTTCCGGCGTAAAGTAGCGTTTTCCGGCGAAGGAGGGAGGGAGGAAGACAGAAAGAGGTGGGGAAGAAAAAAGGGGGAAGGAAAACGTGAGAGTATGATTTAGCGAAAGTGAAGCGGGAAAAAGGGGTCTATTAACAAAGAGTATGGGTTAAGAGATTAATTTGTTGAAATTATTTGCATTATTACTTATTACTAAAGGGGATTCATTTTTATTAGTTTTTTTTAAGGAAAATTTGCAAATTACCACCTAAAAATAGGTTCATTTTCTAAATAACCACCCATTAAAAATTTTATTTTAAATTACCACCCACTAAAATATTTAATTACGCAGATTACCACCTTTTTCAATTTTTCGTTTGATTTCAGGTGTGTGGGGCCCATATAACGGCTATTAACAGCTAGTTGATGCTTCCAAAATGAATTCCCCCCGATTTTTTCTTTTAAAACATATCTCCCACCCCCCCCCCCCTTTTGGGATTGATACTCCAAATTCTCCCCAATTTACACGAATTTCACCCCTGGTAATTGCAGAAGTTTCGCAAGAAATTTCAGAGGCTAATTCGCATCAGGTAAAGTGTTTCAATCTTTAAATTTAGGGTTCTTATTGTGCTTAAATTGGGGAAGAATGATTGAATAGTTGATTAGGGTTTATATTTTCGCAAATTAGGATTCTTATTGTATTTGAATTGGGGGAAATTGGGTGTTTAGTTAATTAGGGTTCATGTTCTTTGCCCAATTATGTTTTTCTCTATGAATTGGGGGTTCTTACCTCTGATGTCTCCAGTGACAGCAAGCAATGTCAGGTGATGAACTCACCACGTGGTCCCTAGTAAAACGCCCTAAAGATGGCGACTTTCGCAAAGAACCTTCACGCAAAACCCCAATTACAAAGTGCAAGTTTTATATGAACTGAAACTAATTTAGGGTTTAATCTCCAATTTTGGATCCTAATCTGAAGAGTGGGTGAGAATTTATGGAGATGGGCGAATTTGCAGAGAGAATGGAATGAGAGAATTGACAGAGGAGAAGTCTTCAGTAGCATGCAATAGTGAAGTCGACAAAAAAGATAAAAAAAATAAGGAGGGAAGTAACGACTGTGGGCCCCACACACCTGAAATCAAACGGAAAATTGAAAAAGGTGGTAATCTGCGTAATTAAATATTTAAGTGGGTGGTAATTTAAAATAAAATTTTTAATGGGTGGTTATTTAGAAAATGGACCTATTTTTGGGTGGTAATTTGCAAATTTTCCTTTTTTTAAACTAATTTGTTGGATCTTGTTTTGTTGATGCTAATTTATTTTTTTTTTGGACAAATATGATACAGTGCATCTGTGGCTGGTTAAATTGTGTGACGGCTTGTAAAAGAATAGAGTAACCCCTTATGACATTAAAATAGCACCAATAAAATTGAAGAAGTAAACCCTATAACACTCACAAGTAACTCCTATAACTCCTAACAAAATACCTCAATCGCATGGTTTAGTCGGTCACTTGCAAGAGTTATGGTAAAGCAGTAATGAAAAAAAGTATGGTAAGATAAAAATTGGGTTAAACTAGTATAAAAGACTCGGAAGTTAAGATAGGTTCATTGTTGCATCGGCAAAATTATCGGTTTAGGATCGGATAACATTTGAGTATATATCATTTAAGTAGTCAAGTTATCATGATTGAGTAATGAAGCTAATCATTTTGTAATGTATATAGGATTTTAGGTTAATGTGATTTCAAGATTTTTTTTATTTTTTTTATTTTTTTGGAAGCAATTCAATTGAAGGTCTTTTTACTTTTGTACCGGTCAATTTGTTATGTTTTGTAACTTGTAAAATAAATTTCAGGTATAATCATGGCGATTATGGCTTATTAGGTCTAATAAAGTATAATCAGTTCATATAAAATAACATATTACAGTCTACTAATAAAAGTTAGTCCATCACTAGGAACTATTGAGTATTTTCGGGTATATTATTGTTAAAAGGAAATAAAAATTGGGTATATTCATATACTACATATAATTGTACAAAAAAAAAAACATTGTACTCTTAATCATATAACTAATATATAAAGCTAAACTTTTAGCCAGGCGACGAGATAGCGACACTTGGCGTTCCAACTTTTCGCCAAGTGTCGTGTCACGTAGGATAGAATTATATAGAATTCAATTTGTAGGATAAAAAGGTAGTTTAAAAATTTATTTTCAATCAAATTTGGATAGAAAATATAAAGCTAAACTTTTAGCCAGGCGACGAGATAGCGACACTTAGCGTTCCAACTTTTCGCCAAGTGTCGTGCCACGTAGGATAGAATTATATAGAATTCAATTTGTAGGATAAAAAAGATAGTTTAGAATTTTATTTTCAATCAAATTTGGATAGAAGTTTAGGATAAAATTTTTAATTTAGAGTTTTATTTTTGATAAAGTACCAATATTTCATATGTACAAATTGAATTATAATTTTATTAAAAAAATAGATTATTACTGTCATAAATTATCATATAAATTTATTTTTTGTATCATAATATTTTTTTTTGAGCAAAGGAATTAGTTCAAAATGTACCACATCCATGATTTATAATATATTCTAATCAATTAAAATAATATACTTCACAATCTAATATAATTTTATTACTGTGTGTAGACCTGTCAATCAGGTCGGGTCACGAGTCATTTCAGACAAGGTCAAAAAAAAAAATTTCACCAATATTATTATTATTTGTCATTACATGTCTACAAGTTTAAATCGTCACAAAAACATGTCAATTCCTAACTAATTTTGTATTAATGATATGTTTTAAAATTTGACATATAGATTAAAATATATCTTTAAATTTAATAAACAACCTGGGCATCGCACGGGCACAAAACTAGTATTCTATAATTCAATTAGGCAAAAGCTAATGAGCGCCCCCGGGGCGTTAGATAAGAAAATGAAAGTGGAAATATTAGAGTAAAATTAACATTAATTACACCGAACGACGCGTAATTTTATCATACATTCCTAACTTAATACTATTTCAACCAATATAATTACTCCTTATCTAACGCCCCGGGGCGCTCGTTAGCAAGATCCATTAAATTAATATGATATAAACCTATTGAATAATTATACTAATTAAAGTATGAGTACAACATTTTGTTAATTTGTTACTATTGATGTAATGGTGTTAAGAAGCACGAGTGATAACAAAAATGTTATCTTGAAATAATATTTTCCATTGATGATTCCTTAATTATTGTGCACACCAGGGTAGGAATTTACAGAAAATGTTTGTTAGAATCTTCAATGTTCTTTCCTAACCTATAATTTATTATTAGCCTCTCTTGAATCAATGCATGCATAAATATGATAATGCACAACTTACGGAGTAAAATATTATGAATTATAATTATACTGTCTACTTCACAAGCAATGCTCAAAGTGCAAAGTGGTGATTGTAAAGTGGATACTATTCAACCCATTTTCTTCCACATTAGATGTTTTATATTATTATCAAATTTCTATTGATTAACAATAAACTAATCTTGTGATCTCTAATTTTATTATAAACTATTTCAAAAGTAGTGGTTTTGAGGGATTTAATACCCTTGTCTTTATATGTTTTACCTTGTAATTAGTGCACAAAGACTTGTGATCAAGTCTATAATTAATTCATTTTTAATGATGGTACAAAGTTCATACTATCTTCCCCTTTGTAAAAGGGTTAAATGGTCAAAAGGGTATTTAAAAATACAGTATGACAAACCCTTTGCCAAATTATTATGAAAAATATAATTGATAGGTTTTAGTTTTAAAAATGCAAATGACAATGTTTAATTGTTTATGCATATTTTTATGACAATCTTAGTAAAGGAGAGGAAATATCATCTGGATTTGTATGAAATATCTAAATTAATTTTAACTTATTAGATAGCCCATTTTACAAAAATCACTTAAGCTAAAACTGGTTTAACTTCATTAATTAAGGCCTTGATACAATAAAATAAGTTAATAACAGTAATCTAAAATGTCATAGTACATAGAAAATGTTAAAAGTATAAAAAAAATCAGCAAAACTGGTAATTGATGAAAGTAATTAAAAACAGGTGAGTAAAACCAATTTAGATTGGTGCACAAATTTCAAACCAATCAAATAGTCACCAAGTTTCCAATTTTTTAATGCTTTGAACGCGTTAACATGTTTTTTGACCAATAATGTGTCTATCATGTTGCATTCTTGAATTAATATCAAAATGCAGAGCATGCATCATGCATGTAGTATAAGCCAAGTACTCTGCCTTACGCGCAGAAGCAGTGGCTCCAATGTCTTCATCATAAGATTGTTTTGCACTGCCATGGCGAGGCCATACGCGCAGCGCGCTGCTAGTTGTTGTGCAACCAAGTCTCTCTCAAGCTCCAGTATGCCTGATAATAAAATTGTACTAAGTTGAGTGACACATATGGAGCAATTTTTATTAATGCTTGAAAATTATAAAGGAAAGATCATGAACCATAAACATTAACGATACTCATCGACCTGTGATTTTGTCATAATTCCGAAATGTTATTTCCAAGTAGGATAATTGCTACTACATCACTACCACTACAAAGCTCCTAAATGTGTACCAAAGTATTACAAAATGGATCTGCAAAATACCTCAGTTTATACTTACACTTAAATTGTTGCATGCATAATTTATGTGTACTTTCCTTCCATATTCCAGCTCTTTGGTTTAATATTTTTTTTAATGTGTTATGTGTATAGTGATTTTGTGAACCTCTTCAACGGTACTAATTACCCATAAGTAATACGAAGTACATGTGCTTTGTTTTTGTGTTAAAAAGGTAAATTTACAAGTTTACTCTCAGTTATTTTTTTCTAGTTTTTTGTGTTCCATCCAGTTTACCTTTTGGGCTAATTCGGATTCGGGGATCAGTTCTGAATAGCTAGATTTCAATCTACTCCCAGTTGTTATTGCGAGGATCAAACTCAAGTTCTCCCTACCAAGTGTAGTCTCAATCACCACTACACCAACATTCAATTGGTTCAGATACAATTTTATAAAGACATAGTATTTCATTCTTTTTACAAGAGCGAAGAAAACATCTTTTTACAAACTTACTCTTTCTGAAGATTAGCAACAACACTAACAAGGACACTAGCTAGAGATTATGAGCATGTAGCAGCACAAGCAAGAAGTGGGTTTGTTGGCACTCTTGCCTATAGGCAACAAGGGTTTGTTACATCAAGTCCAGGCAGGCACAAGCGGATCGAATGTATCAGTTTCGAGGTGTTTTAAACATGTGGCGCCATAATATCTATAAAGGCATACAAAAGCATGAGGCAACAATGGGTAGAGAGCTTGAATTTCATTAATTGAAGTTTTACACTAATCATAGTATCATACATTAACTTTGAACCTATTTTCTTAGTAAGGGAGAACCAAAATGGGTCACTAGCACCGCAAGATTCATAACTACTTCATT